TTTTTCTCTTACTGTCAAGAAAGGTAATTGCTCTCAGTTGGTCTGAACTACCTTACGTTAGTAGATAAATAAATTAGTAGATTGCTACATCATAGTAAATTAAGTTGATATAGTTAATATTAAGTTGTTGGTTTTCCTTTTATGAAGGAAAATTCTACTTTTGTATGAAGAATGAGCGCAGAGTCTATAGGATCGCAGATTTATAGCTGGAAGCTTTAGTGTGTCTCTAATTGTTCTCTTCATTATGAGAAACAATATTAACTTGGATAAGGTAGAGCAACAAACAGACTGCAATAATCAGAAATAGAATGTCCTTGTCATTTGTAAAATTTTCTATTAAAAACTCTTATAAAGTATTATAGGTAGTAGTTTATAATTAGATGATTAAAATTGCCTTTTATAAATTCCACTAGATGGTACCTTCAATGAAAAATAAATTTTAATACGTATCTCAGACATAGTGAAGTGTCCACTGAGTATCCAGATATCATTGGATTGTCCCTGGTAGAGGAGTAGACTAGCCTGAGGAAAAGCCTCCTGGCGTTGCAGTAAGAAAGGTTTATGCAGAGGCTGGTGTCAGAGAAAAAATAGGCTTCTGGGATATTTGAGAATCAAGACTGGAAGCATCACATTTACTATTTATGTGCTTATTTTCACTGAAATATTGGGAGACTGAGAATATTCTGTTATTTAGGAATATAGGGAGGAAGAGAAAATGGTTCATGTTTAAAGACACCATTAAAGTTCTTCAGTGTCATAAACCTGTATATGCTGAGTATTTAGAAAAATTGAAATTGGACTGCTCACCAAACAATGGTTCCCACCCTTCCAGACAATTCTTTGTATATAATTTTTGCCATCTACTGTGAAGATAAATGTCTGTGTGACTATACATAATTTCACGGGTAGAGAGTGTTTGACATCTATGTGTTTAAACTCTTGAATTGTCAGGTAACATATTTCAGGCAGTTTTCATGTTTTTCAGATGCTTTGAAATGTTTCCCTTTTTCTTTTACGAGTATAAAATGTTTCATTAAACCAAAGCCTGAATACACAAATAAAAAAGGATAAAGGTGAGGGATGTGATTATAGTGGTATCATCCTGATTGAACAGTGTCAGAGATGGACAGAGTTATAGACGTTTGCTTTAAGTGATACAAATTACTCACCATAATGAAGAAATCGAGTCCCACAGTTGCCTTAACCAGCACAAATACATTATTTCTTTGCCAGTTAGAGGTTCATCAATATAGTCAAGGGCAATATTGTTTTAGTAGGAGCTCTTTTGAAAAAACCTACAAAGAAGAAGGTTAACAGAAGATTGAGCAGTATTGCCCTACAAAGTGCCAACCTTGAAAAGCTGGTGAGAGAAATGAGACTATATGGATCTTGGCGAGAAAACCAGTTAAGCAAGATAGTTTTTGTAGATGAACCTGGGAAGACTAATAGACTCTTAGTTATGTGACCCAATAGGCTATCTCCTCCAACCTATCAGCTAGGTTATCTGTTTTCTGCTTGAAGACCTGGTTTCAGTGGTAATCTATTTTTTGATGCAGTCTCTTCTACTTTTGGACAGCTCTAATTTTTAAAAAAATTTTTCTTTACATCAAGTATTTGAAAGGTTGTTATGTTACTTGAAGTTTTTCTTTCAGGATATACAGATTCCCTGGTACCTTAAATTGATAGTCATATGTCATTTTACTTAGACAACTCTTAACTGTCTTGATCATTGTCTTCTGACTATGTTCCTCATCAAAAATACCTTTACAAAAACGTGATTCTTGTATCATTGTAATATCAGGTTTGCCAGATCAATTTTACATAAAACATGCTCTGTGGATTATCATGTATTTCAGTAAGTAATCTGTTGAATATTTCTCTCTCATTTAAAAATTTGTGTAAAGATATGCAGTCTGAGCAGGTTTCTGTAATGAATGATTATTTCAACAAAGGGAAAATACCCATCTGTTGTCATTAACTTTGTCATAGTAGTAATTTTGAAATTTTGGTTTAGGAGCTCAGAATTTAAACTTAGTATTCTGTCACACTGTGGTTTAAGAAAATTGCCAATGACGAATATTCCTTATATTCCTCAAACATAAGATGGTAGAAGAAACCTTTTTTTTAAAACTGAGTATTTATAGCAGAAAGTTGGGAAGTTGCAACCTTGATGGTTTTGTCAAGATTGGAATTAAGGTAAACTGAGGCAACAAAGTTCTGAACACATTCAATTTATTGATAAGGCTAGCACATACAATAAGAGGGGTAAGCTCCTCAGCCTTCCAAAAGACCTTGAATGACAGCTGATGGATTATCTTTAGAGACAAAAGGAGGAGCATCCAAAAAAATAGAAGGCAGCATCATAGATGGAGAAAACATTGTGATTGCTTTGTGGGAGACAACATAATTGGATGGAAATTGGAAATGCGGAGGTAGTAACCCCTCCTTCCATCTTTGTTGCTAGGAAATTCTGATTCATTTAGTCTAAGAATAAGTGATGGTACGTAGATAATAGATTTCCTCTAATTGGACAAAGACAGTCAGTGATATAGAGATAACAAATTTCTTTAAATTAAAATAATTTATAGGGAAACTGAACTTTTAAACTTAATTCAGAGGAAGACTCAACTTCTGAACCTATGAACTTTTGAACTTAAGTTAAAGACAAAAGTAAGGTGACTTAGGCAGTTAAACAATGTCAGTGGTGATACAGAATAGAATCAATGACAAAAATGGAGATGTTCAGTTTGATTTTTTTTTTTTTTCGGTTTTAAGACCAACTTATGTCTACTTGCATTTGTTACCTTTTTACGTGAGTATTGTTGCAACACTTTCAAAATACTAAATTAATTTTTATGGATGCAATATAATTTGAAATGATTGTGAATAATTTGAAATTTGAAATGAAAAAGATTGATTTGTTCTGGCAGATTTGACTTTTCTTTGTCTTTTTTTTTTGGCGAGGCAATTGGGGTTAAGTGACTTGCCCAGAGTCACACAGCTAGTTATGTTACGTGTCTGAGGTCTAGGTCCTCCTGACTCCAGGGCTGGTGCTAGATTTGGCTTTTCTTTTGGTTTAAGTAGATGATGATTCTAATATAGATTTCTCCTCTTGTCTATGCCCGAACTATTTCCAGTAATTTTTATTCAGTTTGGTAGAAAAATAAAAATGCTTTTGGTTACAGTTGCCCATTGAAATGACCACAAAAAGTAGAAAACTCATTAGATGACAAAGGTTTCTAAGGCTCATTATATATAGGTCTGTCTCATTTTCCTGACAATAAGATCGTCACTTGTTGGTTTGTTAGCAATGCTATGTTGTCAAGATTGACTTTAAATAACGGTACTTACAAAAGGTTTTTGATGTTACATTGTAATAATCATCAGCACTGGGCATCTCTTCCAAGGGATGGTGAAATGAATTGAGCTCAAAAGTAGTGAGGGGCAATTCGGTGGTTCAGTGGATAGCATGCCAGGCCTGGAGTCAGGAAAACTCCAAGTTCAATTTTGGTTTTAGACCCTTAGTAGTTGTGTGACCCTGAGCAAGTCCCTTAACCCTGTCGCTTCAGTTTCCTTATCTGTTAAATGAATGGGAGAAGGAAATGGCAAATCACTCTAGTATCTCTGTTAAGAAAAACCCCAAATGGGGTCACAAAGAGTTGAACACAATTGAAAAACAGCTGAACAACAAGAAGAAAGTATGGGTGACATAGCTCTAGGAGACCTGATATAATGGAAAAGAGCACTCAACTTGGAGTCAGGAAATAAGGTTTCAGATCCTTGCTCTCACATTCATTAGCTTTGTAAACTTTAAAGGTTATAACTATGTATGTGAAATATAATCTCTTCCATTCAAGTTGTCCCCAAATGCGTCATCATGGCATGGAAGTTGTGGAAGAGAATGTTAATAGAATATAGGTTCTAACATGTCTTATGAAGCTGGAAAAAGGTTTGAGTATGATCTCCGTTAGGTTGTTTGATTGTTATTTAAGAACTAGCAGGCATCTATCACCATCTTGGCGCTAGGTTGATGAGGATTTGTTTGTTTTTCCAGCCATAGCAAGACTAGAAGGACTGTAGTTTCTGTTGAGGTAAAGAGTACTCACCTGTCTCTTCTGATTGTTTTTGAAGGATCTGATTAAATGGAAGAAAAATATGGTAAATTATTATATTGTTAATATCTTGCAGTGCTTTAACCTGTATGCGGAAAAAGCATAAAAGACTGAACTTCATAGCATAATCTAAATAGCTTGATTACTCTAGGGTTGCCTCTTACATGATTTCCTTATTTACTTCTTACCCCACAACTCTTTATAAGTTACTAATATTTGGAAGTCGTGTTTAAGTACTTCTGTCTTTCCAGAAATGTTGGAAAAGTAGAAATTTAATATGAGGATCTGGAATCACGAAATCATTCAATTGAACATGAGCTTTGCATTTGTCTGAGAAGTTTTTGTTTAATTTTGATAGAAAATTTATTTTGGCACATCAGCATGTCTTGCTGAGTTGTTGTTGAGTCGTTTTTCATGACTGTTCAGTCATGTAGTAACTTTATTTGGGGTTTTCTTGGCAAATAACGTAGAGTCTTTTGACATTTCCTTCTCCAAGCTTGCTAAGTACAAAACACTTTATCATACGCCCCTACGTTTATATTTTGTAAAAAGACACATAATATATCTAAAACTAAAACATTTTGGCGCTTGTAGTTGTTGAGCTTTTTGAAAGAAAGTGCTTTGTTCCTTCTAATATACTGATAATGCTTTTGGAAATAATTACTACACAGTAGCTGTAATAGAACTTAGTTATAGCAAATTTTGTACCGAATACATATTTTTTCTTTACCGACTTTCTCTGTTTTAGGACACAACTAAAACCTCATTTAATGCTTATTCTTCTGTCAGGATGAACTACCATGATAAATGGATAAGTAAATTTATTTAATTTGGAACTTTTCAAAAATTAAAGATACTGATTGTATAAATCTTTTTTCAAATATTTAGAAGTCGCTGGAGTTCAGGAGTGGGTGGAAGTGGAGGAGGATCTTCTGGCAGGTCATCTGCTGGAGCTCGAGACTCACGACGACAGACCAGAGTTATTCGGACAGGACGAGATCGAGGCTCTGGTCTGTTGGGCAGTCAGCCCCAGCCTGTTATTCCTGCATCTGTCATTCCAGAAGAACTCATTTCACAGGTATGTTAATTATTTTCAAGTGTAGTGAAGCATATTGTGAGGTAGAAACAACTCAAGTCTGATATACATAAGTATGTTAAGAATATGTGGTATCATCAATATAGGGAATTCTTTCCACTTGGTTATTATTAAATCCTATGGAACTACCTGAGGCATGTGGAGGTTGAGTGACCTGTTAAAGAGTTATTCAGCTAATATCAGAGGCAAGAGTTAATCCCATGTCTTCTGATTCCAAGTCCTGTCTCTTTAGTCCCTATGCCAAACCACTTTTCTCTTGTAAGATTTATTATGCTGAAGTGGCAAACTAGTATAGCTCTTTTTTTCTCCACAGAACAGGGGCCTTTATTGAAAATGGCATATTTCATAGTTTTATATAGAATTTTTTTGTGTTCTCCTCTGTACAAGAAAATGTTCTTTGATGTTTCAATTCAGTATGACAAAATGGGTGGAAAATTTAAAAAATGGCTTAAAAGATGACTTATCTTTTCTCATGTATTTTCTCCCAAGGCCCAAGTTGTTTTACAGGGGAAGTCTAGAAGTGTTATTATTCGGGAACTCCAGCGGACAAATCTTGATGTAAACCTTGCTGTAAATAATTTGCTCAGCCGTGATGATGAAGATGGAGATGATGGGGATGATACTGCAAGTGAATCATATCTACCTGGAGGTTGGTAATTGATTGCTGCACAGATTTTCTTTTGGGGTCTTAGCATCTTGTTGAAGTGGCATAGTATAAATTTCATGTTGAAGAGAAAATATTAGTGGTGTAACCATTCAGGTTTTTATTACTTGGTGGATTTTACTTAGATACTAGCAAAAAGGAGGATTGAATATTGGCTTGTGTGCTGCTGAATGATTACTTTTCAAGTTTTATACATAAATGTTAAATTGCGCAACAAATAAATACACGTTCCACAACTCATAAAACTTGGGTTAATTCTGTTATGGAATTATCATTTATCAATCCATTCATCAAATTATGTGGACGCTGTGAATATTGGACTTAAATTATTTATTCTCCTTATAGAGGATCTTATGTCTCTTCTTGATGCTGATATTCATTCTGCACACCCAAGTGTTATTATTGATGCTGATGCTATGTTTTCAGAAGACATTAGCTACTTTGGTTATCCTTCCTTTCGTCGTTCATCACTTTCCAGGCTAGGCTCATCTCGAGGTAATTTTGCACTTTTCTCTTTTTGCTCAGTACTTAGCATTGTAGAATGTTAGTGAGAGAATGCATGATAGTTTCCTTTTATTTTTTCTAATTATCACAAATTGAATTACTGTTGACTAGCATTTGCATAGGATTCTGGGGGAAAAACCAGGTAGGTGATTCTAACTTTTCTTGGATGAGCCACAATAGTATTGTATTAATGATTTTATCTAGATTGTGGTCCATAATCTAGTAATATTTGTGTTTATACTTATAAGTTTTTATTGCATAATTCTATTTTTTTATTAGGAATACTAGTTATGAACTCAAAGCCAAATTCTATTTTACAGTGACATGCAGCATTCAGAAAGCCCTTCTCCATGGTTCTTAAGTTTGCATGATTATTCCATTACTTTTAGTCCCAGTATCGTGGAGGAGAGAACTGGGAAGCTAATTTAGAACCATGAAAGACTGTTACCAGAACTAGGTTAAGAATAACAGTTTATAAATGATAAATTGCTAAAACAAATGTGTACTTAATTAAAATATTATTTTTGGATATTTTTAAGTCTTTTAATACTTCCTACACAGTTTGACCAGTACAGTTTTAAATTGTTAATCCAACCTCTGTATTTTGATTTATTGTAGCTCTTTTTCTTCATTTTTATTTTAACTCCAGTATATAGCACCAGTGAACATATGTATACCTGCTTGGGTCAAAATTCCAGTAATTATTGGTCACATTATGATAGGCCAATATTTTATATCTTTAGCACTTGTTTTCTTTTAGTAGAAAGACCCAAGGCTTAAAAAATGTTTTGTTTTGTTTTTTTTAAAGAAAAAATGATGGTGACTTGATATGTATGATATCAATATGTGATACCTCTTCGTTTTAGTCAGCATATACATAATGGCTAATGTACGTCATGTGCATGTTCAGATGTTCGACATTTGACATAACGCCTTCTAAATCCCTCCTTTTTTTCCCTTTCCTAAGGTTATTTATAAGACGTTACTACGAATTGTTTCTAATCCTTATTTTCCATGCATAGTTGACTCTGGGCAAGTTAGTTTTGATTACCTCATTTAAAAAAATATCTGCATGAGCGAACTGCAGAGTACTGGCTTTAGACAGTTTGTAGGCCAATTGGAGGGGAAGCATTTTGGTAAGGAACTCTTTCCTGCAAGGATCCTTTTTAAAACTTGTTTGGCTCTTTGGAACTTTTTAATTTGAAACTATTAAATACGCTAATTGATTATGTAAAATATTTTATAAATCCAGTCCTATAAAATACTATTTTAAAGAAAGGGGTTGGATTATCAAAGCTTTATGTAAATTTCATGTAATTTGATTTGTCTTAATTTTTTCAGACAAGTTTTTTTTTTTGTGCAGCTGTATTTTATTACTAGAGACTCTCTAATAAACACTCTTTTTTGGCTTGCATAAATGTATCTAACAGAAGTTGAAGTTTTGATTTATTAGGAGAGTTTGCCATTAGGCTGATAAATATTTTAATAATATTCCTTAGTATAATGTATCACGATCTTTGAATCTTAATTTAAAAAAAAAAGCCAATCAAAAAGAATTGTATTTTTTAAAAAAAAACTGAAACCATTGTGCCCTTTCAGAATTTTTAATTTGCCACTTATAGCAACTTTTGGTACATGTACTTGAAAAGGTTAAAGCTTTGAATGTTGCATGTCAGACTGAGACCTAAATCTATTTTAAATTTTTGTCAGTAGATAAACTGCTGTTAGTTGCATCCTGAAGGGTCTTTACTAGAGAGTGGCTTACTTTTATCCCACTGGTGTGACCCAATTGCATACCAGTTCTCCTTCTTCCCTTAGAGAGAGACTCTGAGCTGTTGCGTGAACGTGAATCCGTTTTACGTTTGCGTGAGCGAAGGTGGCTTGATGGAGCCTCATTTGATAATGAAAGAGGCTCTACAAGCAAAGAAGGAGAACCAAATTTGGATAAGAAGAATACACCTGTGCAAAGCCCAGTATCTCTAGGAGAAGATTTGCAGTGGTGGCCAGATAAGGTATTGAAATTTTCCCATATTTGTCATAGAATGCTTAACTATATTCCATTTATTTTTCTGAAAAATTTTTTTTAATTATTAATTTATTTGGAGTTATCAACAGTCACTTCCATAAGCTTTTAAGTTTAAAATTTTTCTCTCCCTTCCTCCCCACCTCCCTCCCCAAGACGGCGTGCAGTCTGATATAGGCTATACATATACATTCCTATTAAACATTTTCACGTTAGTCATGTTGTAAGGAAGAATTAGAACCAATAGGAGGAACCACAAGAAAGAGGAAACAAAACAAAACAGAAGGGAAAAAAAGAGCAAATAGTGTGCTTCGATCTCCATTCAAACTCCATTGTTCTTTCTCTGGATGTGGATAGCATTTTCCATCATGAGACTTTTGGAGATGTCTTAGATTCTTGCATTGCTAAGAAGGGTTAAGTCTTATCAAAGTTAGTCATTGCACAACATGGCTGTTACTATGTACAATGTGCTCACTTCACTCAGCATCAATCCATACAAGTCTTCCCAGGTTTTTCTAAAGTCTGCCTACTCATCATTTCTTGTAGCACAATAGTATTCCATTACATTCATATACCACAACTTGTTGAGCCATTCCCCAATTGATGGACATCCCCTCAATTTCCAATTCCTTGCCACCACAGAAAGAGCTGCTACAAATATTTTTGTACATCTGGGTCCTTTTCCCAATTTTTATGATCTCTTAGGGATACAGCCCTAGAAGTGCTATTGCTGGGTCAAAGGGTATGCACATTTTCATAGCCCTTTGGGCATAGTTCTAAATTGCTCTCAAATGGTTGGATCAACTCCACCAACAGTGCATTGGTGTTCCAATTTTCCCACATCTTCTCCAACATCATTTTCCTGTTATGTCATGTTGACCAATCTGATAGGTGTGATGTGGTACCTCTGAGTTGTTTTGATTTGCATTTCTCTAAACAATAGTGATTTAGAGCATTTTTTCATATGACTATAGATGACTTTAATTTCTTAATCTGAGAACTGCCTGTTCATATCCTTTGACAATTTACAATTGGGAAACTGAAAGCTTTTCTGCTTAATTTTAAATATATTTTTAAAATGAGTGAGAACGATGTGATGTAAAATTTTCTATACATTTATATGACATCTTCGTTCTTCTATTCATTAATCAATCAGTCAACGTTTATTAAGCTCCTGCTATGTGACAGGCTTTGTGCTAAGCACTTGGAATTAAAAGACTTTCTGCCCTTAAGGAGCTTACAATCTAATGGGGGAGACAACAATCAAACAAATATGTACAAAGCATTCTCTATATAGGATAAATAGAAATAATTTACAGAGGGAAGGGACTATAATTAAGAGGTTTTTGGAAAGACTTCTTGTAGAAGATGAGATTTTTGTTGGAATTTAAAGGGAGCCAGGAAGATGAGATGAAGAGGGAGAGAAAGTCGGGTATGGGGGAATAGCCAAAGAAAAAGCCCTCTGAGAAATAAGAGTGTCTTGTTTTGTTGAACACAGAGGAGGCTAGTCACTAGATTGAAAGAGTGAGTAGTGGGGAGTAAGGCATAAGCAGACTGGAAAGGGATAGGTTGTGAAGGGCTTGAATAACAGGATTTTTTATTTGACCCTGGAGGTGATAGGTCACCTGGAGTTTACTGAGTAAGGGAGTGACATGATTAGACCTGTACTTTAAGAAATCTTTTGGTAACCAGTTGGAGGAAGGAGGTATTGGAATAGGGAGAGACTAGAGGCAGGCAAACCCACTGGTTGTTTATTGTAACACTAGGCTGTAGAGGGGTGAGCCTTGGCAAGGTGTAAGGCCACTTCATCATGAGGTGAAGGAGGAGATATTGGCAGAAGGCATGAGGGATAGGAGATGAAAAAGAGGATAAAAGAGGGAGTTCATGGTGAATGCGTTCAGTTTTTTCTGTAAAATACGAGATAAGATTCTCAGCTTAAAGAGTGGGGAGAGGAAGCCATGGGAGGTTCAAGGAAGCATGAAAAGTTTTTGAAGAGCCACTGAAAAATGGTATAATGAATTGATAAGGGAATTATAGTAGGATTGCCTTACCACAGTGAAGGCCTAGTTGAAGTTGAGTAGCAAATTTGTAGAGGACCCAGTCTGAGCAGTTGCATGATTTTTCTCCTCCTTTATTCAGCAATATGTGTGTAGAGAGGGCAACATATAGTAAGAGTGATCCAGGGCTGAGCCTTGGCTGGGTATAATTTGTATGATTAGAGGGCTGGGGGTTCAAGAGAGGACGACTATATAGTATAATTTAATTGGGTCACCATGGGTTCAAGTTGGAGAGAAGTGGGGAAAGTAGTAGTAGTACTAGTGTAAGGGAGATGGCCTGGGAGAGAGTTGAGGGGTCCAGAGATTGGAGTTCATGATGTGGAAGAAGAATAGAGTTTTATAAGGAAATGTGGAGGGAGAAGTGAAAAGTCATTAGATTTTGGTTAGAGGGATTTTGGAATTTTTAATATAGAGAATGTACATTTTTGGATGATGGCAAGTTTACATGTGTGATTGAGATAGGATGGAAGAATAGGTCATGGGAATTGAGTAAGTTGAAGAACTAAATAGTTAAAGAATTTGAGGGAGAGTCAGTATGTTCTGCCAGTAACTGACACTAATAGAAGAACTTAGCTATGCCCATTGCAGACTTTCTTCAGGGTACATACAATGCCCAGCAGGAGATGCAAGGTATAAGGTGATAGCATGTGGCATGAGGTCTTCTCACCTGAGGAGACTGGCAGTAGGAAGTGGTAGACTTCCTGTGTAGGGGAAGTCTTTTGGTAAATGTTATTTCATTTTCTATATTTGCTTCTGGCAAACTATTTTAGTCATTCTGTTTGGAATAAGTAAATGAAATATGAGATTGTGATAAGCCTTATTTTTTTGGATCTGGAATAGAATAATCTAATTGGTAACTGGCTAGTGGTGGTATATTCATTTGCAAAAAGTTTGTTGCTTTATGTCAGAAAGACTCTAGATGATGGCTACAGATTTCAGCGGAGTTGGTTTATTGCATATTGAATTACTGTGCTAATGACATTGGTCACAGATTTAGTAAACCTGCTGAGTTCATCACTCCTTATTTCTAGACTGCCTTAGCCACATGAAGGTTGTTACACAGTTTCACATTGGGTACTGTGTATGAGAAGTATGAGATACCAGTCCTGATTTTGTATTGTTCAAAACCTAGTTGGAGATGCAGAATGCACATGAAAAATATAATCTTTGTAATTTAGACTTCGATTTGTGATTTGAGCTTTGATTCCCTAATCTGTACACAAGAAGGGGTTGGACTAAATTATCTCTTAGGTACTTCCCACTTTTGAATTTTGTGATCATTTGCAATTTGAGAAAATCATAACTCCTAGATGTCAGTAAGCAGAACTTATTATCAAATAATCAAATCTGTGAATAGTTTCAAAATTTTAAACTTGAAAGGAGTCTCATCTAGATTATCTAGTCTAGTCCCTTTATCGTCAGAGGGGTGAATTGATTTGTCAAGTGTCCTTAAACAACAGAATTCTTCCTCAGCTCTGATTTTTTTTTTTCATCAAAAATGTTTTGCAAACACTCTTTAAAGGTCAGTTTTTTTGGTTGTAAGGAATATTGTATTTCAAGATATAGCTTATAGTTTTATGAAAGAAGCCTGATCTTGTTCATACTCTTTAAGGTTCCTTGGTATTTTAGTTCTTTCTGGATTCTTGCAGTATTTTTTTTCTTTGATGTAGGAGCTTTGGATTTTGGTTATGACATTCATGAAACTTCTTTTTAACAGGTGATTGATGACTCTTTCTAGCATCACTTTGTCCTCTAATAGATCTGGGCAGTTTCCATTTGTAATTCCTAAAAATATAGTGTCTTGCTTTTTCTTTATAAATTGTGGTTTTAGTTAATCTGTAGGTTCTTAAATTATTTCTCCTTGACTTGTTTTCCACGTCAGTTTTTTAAAAAAAATCTGTCATACCTTCTATTTTCTTCTATTTTTCCAGTGTTTTAATTTGTTCTAATACTTCTGTTTTCTCATGGAATCATCGATTACCCTTTGATTCATTCTCATTTTCAGAGACTCTATTCTCCTAATTCTACATTTTTCTTCTTTTTTTTTTTTTTTTGACTAGGCTATGGGGTTAAGTGACTTCCCCAGGGTTACACAGCTAGTAAGTGTTATGTGTCTGAGGCTGGATTTGAACTGAGGTCCTCCTGAATCCAGGGTTGGTGCTAGCTGCCCCTAATTCTACATTTTTCAATATTTTTCACTTCACTTGACTTCTAAGATACTATTTTTCCTTGTTCATTTATCTATCTAATGTTCCTTCTGTGTTTCATTTGCCTGTTCTTCTCCTGTTCTTCTAATTGTGGTATCCCAAGTTTTCATCACTGGCCATTCACATTGTATGGAACGCTTGCCTCCATCTCATGAATCTCTCACTTCTTTCAGGATGTTATTTAAACATCATGATCTATGTGAAACTTTTCCTGATGCTCTCAATTTCTAATTCACCCCCTCCCTAACTTTCTTGTCTTTGTTTTGTATATAGTTACATGTGTGCATGTTGCCCTTCCCGTGATTTAATCTATAAGTTACATGAAAGGAAGAATTCTTTCATTTGTTTTGTCTTTGTATCCTCATCACCTAACAGTCTTCTTGATGCATAGTAGGTGCTTAATAAATGCTTGTTTATTATGTGACCCTTTTGTCCCCTTGACATTCTCTCTTTTTTATTTTATGTACTCCAGTGAACACATGGTAATAATGATCACTTCTATGGAAGTGATTCTCCATATATGTATTAAATCTGTTGCAGTGCTGGTTTCTACTTTTGAACTCCAGTCCACTCATGAATTTTCAGATGATTGCTAGGATATTTACATGTTCTGCCTGAGTTACATAATTAGCATGTCCAAGTTGCATTTCATCTCTCTCCCACCCCTTCATAAAAAAGAAACTTGCCTCTTCTCTTTTCGCATTCTCTTGAGCATACTACTGTAC